CCATTTTTCGCCTGTTGCTGTCCATTCCTATCCCTGAGTTTCGTGCTTCAGACATTCCTTACTTGCATCTCTATCTCCGCTGTTGCAACGAATGGTGTTGTTGAAAGTGGAGGTGCCTACTTTATGATATCAAGAAATCTCGGACCGGAGTTTGGATCAGCTGTAGGATTTTTGTTTTATCTGGCAAACACCGTCGCTACATCCATGTACTTAGTGGGTGGTGTGGAAATTTTGCTGGTAAGAGTTTTTGAAATTTTGATACTATTGAGTTGAAATCGCTCAACTTTCAGCTCTACATCTTCCCTGGCATGACTATCGGTGGACCAGAAGTTCATTCCCAAACAGGTTAATATATAAGCAAAAGGATTACTTGCGCACTACTAATACCAGTAATGGATCTTTACAGGAACATTTGGCATGATGACCAACAATCTTCGCTTCTACTCGACAGTCCTGCTTCTTCTCGAGTTCCTCATCGTCGCAATGGGCGTGAAATTTGTACAAATGCTTGCACCCGTATGTGGAGCGTCATTAGCGGAACTTCCACATCCTTATTTTGCTCGTTAATCGAAGTTTTAGGTTTCGCTTGTATGTGTGATCATTTCCATTCTTGCGTGCTATGCGGGAGGCCTTGAGAAAACTCTAAACCCAGATTCAGGACTAAGGTTAATTAACCAGATTCCTTATTCTGCTGCTACCAAGCAAAATTTCTCACGCACTATTTGATTGCAGGGTATGCATGTACGGAGATCATCTACTGCAGTCAAAATATGTCATGCCAGCTGAAAACGGATCTATCTATGATATTTGTGATTATTGTAATTTAAGGTATGAAGTTTGCGATAACATCATTTTCCAATTTATTTTGTGACTCTCACTTAGTTTTTGTTAGGAAACCTTGGTTGTTTCATCCTATTTAGCATGTTCAGAAGAATCTTTTTCTTTTTTATTCAAATATGTACTTTGGCACAAACATTTCTAGAGTTCTCCTGAAATGAAATAGGTTTAGAATGTCCACCTTACAATGACTTAATTGCTTAAATCTGAAATATATCAGATAGGCTAAACATCGATTTACTGCACTGGAAGAGAAGCTAGATTTTTAAACTCATTTTTAGCAACCCGTTTCTGTACAAGAACCTGTGCCCTGGTAATAACTGCACAGAAACCTTTGATATCAAATGTATCAACGGTTTTCCCGGTTTTAAGAGCAATGCATTCGTTGGTGCGTTTTTTGAAATTGATTTTACGACTTCTATTGGTCTAGTCAGATTTGTAATTTAGATAATTTTGGATCGGCATACGTAGGAGCATTTTACACAACTGTTAACGACAAAGCAGACTTGAACCGTGATGTGTTCCAAGTAAGTTTGCAAATAGAACAATTTCAAGCTGCTACGCTAATCTCCATTTCATGCAGGATGTACAAACATCTTTCTGGCTGCTTCTTGCCATCTATTTTCCAGCTGTAACAGGAATCTTTACTGGTGCTAACATGAGTGGTTCGTTTTTTAGCAGACGATACTTTATATTACTTTTCTATCTTACTTTAAATTTCGATGGGAACAATAGGCTTTTATTTGAATCTACATTCTTCCTAGTTGTCACAACAGGTAATTTATCCTAATGGGAAGCATAGGAGTAGTAGGTGTTATTTCAGCCAATTTTGAATAATTAAAAAGAGTGTCATCAGCAGTGGGGATAGGTGAAAATCTTATTTAAGGTGATCTAAAGAATCCGCAAGCGTCTATACCAACGGGAACGATTGCTGCCACCTTGACCACCTCTTTCATCTACTTCTCCCTGGCTCTCGTATTCGGAGCTGCAATTGATGGCAGTGTATTGAGAGACAAGTGAAGTTTTAGATTTTGCCTGCATTCCAATATGAAATATAATCGTACAATGTCCCATACAGAAATGGCCAGTCGATGGGAGGCTCCATGGTAGTCGCAGCACTTTCGTGGCCTAGCTCTTGGGTGTTGCTAATTGGCTCCTTCTTTTCAACGTTCGGAGCAGCTCTACAATGCCTATGCTCAGCCCCACGTCTTCTCCAAAGTATTGCCAAAGACGATGTTATCCCTATTCTTAGTCCTTTCAAGAAAGTCACAAAAAACAATGAACCTTTCCTTGGGTTAGTCGGGATATGAGTTCATGAGAGATAATCATTTGCAAAGATCTTTGTGTTTTAGATTGATTATCACAACGGTTATCGCTGAATTGGCTATTTTGATGGGTGCTATGGACAGTATCGCTGCTGTAGTGGATTTCTTCTTCTTGATGTGCTATGCTTTCGTCAACATCATCTGCACATTGCATTCTCTTCTTGGAGCTCCTAACTGGCGTCCTCGTTTCAAGTATTATCACTGGTGAGGGCTTACGACTTCTTAAAAGGAGCATGGATAAGATTTGTCTATTACAGGTCCCTTTCTCTTCTCGGCGCTGTGCTCTGCTTCTTCATTATGTTCTCTACACATTGGGATTATGCCTTAGTGTCAATTTTCCTTTGTCTCCTCATTTACAAATATGTCGAATGGAAAGGGTTTGTGACTATCGTTGCTTTGATCCCGAAGCTTTCTGTCATCAGCAGCATCACTTTAGCGCAAAGAAGGAATGGGGAGATGGTATTAGAGGACTGGCTCTTACCACAGCTCAGTACTCTCTTATGAAGATCGAAGACAAAGACCCCCATCCAAAGAACTGGCGGTTAGCTTATTTCTTATAAATCCTGGAGTTCTTAATACATGTTCGCTTCAATTCAGCCCGCAGTTGTTGTTGATTCTTTCAATGCCTTGGGCGAAGGAACTGGTTGATGTACGATACCTCAACCTTTTGAATTTGGCATCCCAACTCAAAGCGGGAAAAGGATTAACAATCGTTACTTCATTCATCAGAGGAAATGTTACAAGCCCAGATGATAGGAAGCGTGCTGAGCAGGTGCAATCATTCCCTCAAAACCTTAATCTTGTTACTTTAAGTGCTTTTAAAATGAACTTATATGAAAGAAAAGGTGTGATACCTGAGGTAGTTTTGAAACATTAAATTTCAGATAAAATCCCGAATGGACTTTGACATGAATCAAGTACGTCTCCGTGGTTTCGCTAAAACTCTAGTTCATGACGAGGACCAGGTGACTTCCCATATTATCGTTCATTGTCGGCGCTCTCATTAACTGACCTTTACAGATCACTGGCTCCATGTCCACCCTGATCCAGTCGGTTGGTTTGGGAGGACTGAAGCCTAATACTATGCTGATATCATGGCCTGTACATGAACGAGGATCATCGGAAAGCAGCGATTCTGAATACAACACTTTCACAGGTAAGTCTGCAAGATAATTGTTCCGCCTTTGTCTGAAAAC